GATCTTAAGGAGACTTTGTGGAAAGGGGAAGAGGGTCCTGGGCAGCAGAGAGCATATAACAAGGAGAGAGGCAGTGGGCACAGTCAGAGGGCAGGGAGGGACCAGCAAGCAGAGCAAGGAGCAGGAGTTATACTGGGGGAAGGGTCTTATCCCTTGCTTCCCCCCCCCCGCTTTCCCTGGCACAGAAGTAGGGACAACTTTAAAAGACAAACCTCTAATAATTAGATTCTACATGTGGAAAATTTTAATTATAGTTTTCCATGTATAGAATCCAATTATTGGGGGTTGTCTTAAATTCAGGGTCATTTTGGATTCAGGTAAATACAGTATTACAAAACAGTTAAATTGCAAAAATTGTAATGGATTATTATAACTAACATTGTTAGATAAGTATAAATGTGAATGATATTCAAGACTGAATAAATTATTCTTGGCTTTTATCCTGGAACCCCAAAATTACAAACCAAAACAAAACAAAAAATAAAACACAAATAGCAATTATAAAAGACATAAGCAAGCTTTTCAGTGCTGCTGGTTTTGCTTCCTCCGTCAGCCCAGAATAGCTCCTGCAGCAGCACATAGCTTAATGGGGAGGCGGGGACACTTGAAGAGCTCAGGAGACAGGAGTAGAGCAGGGGTGCCTGCTTCTGAATGGGGTATGTGAATCCCAGCTCCTGCAGGACATGGGGACACAGAGCCCTCACTTCTGCCCTTGCTAACAGACAGCGTTATCAGCTATACAAGGTGATTCTTAGTTCCACAGAATATCTGACATTAACCACAGTAGCTTCTGCTAATCAGACTTCTGGAATAGACTTCCCAAGCAGGTGGTGCAGTTCCCAACCTTGGAAGTCTTCAAGAGGAGACTGGACAGATACCTTGCTGGGATCATTTGATCTCAGCAGTATTCCTGCCCAGAGTAGCGGGGTTGAACTCGATGATCTTTCAAGGCCCCTTCCAGCCCTCAATTTCTATGATTCTAATTAAGTAAGAAAATTAGCAGTAGGTAAGAATGCAGTGAGGGAGAACAGGAAACTCAATGAGAATTTAGTCATGGGGTGAGGGCTACTGCAGGGTTGGATAAAAACAAACACATGTTAATTTTACTCTGGTTTTAACACTTTGGCTCCTCAAGGACCTAAGCATCAATCACTATATTGTGCATATTTACCCCTGGATAGCTGGAAACCAGGTGGCCTCCACACATATAGCTTATTAGAATAATTTCTAGCAGTGATGATTCACATGAGAAAAGCAAAGAAATTGTACTTGTTGAAAGAAGCTATTTAAGCTCTACTCCCCCCCACAAAAGCCTCTAATTTGTCTTCAGTATTTCAAGAATACATTTATAGTTATGAAAAACTCCTGTTAGATGAATCTCAACAGTGTGCAGGTGACATGTAGATCCTGCTGAAGCTACCACTCTGTTATTAGAATGGTCTTCCAGTCCCGCTAGTACAGCAATTCCAGCTAGGTCATAGCATATCTGAATATACAATTTGATCCATTATGATAGCCCTTGAACTGATATAGCTTGGCCTTTAGACGTCTTGCCAAAAGCTACAAACAACCTTATGAACTTTCTAAAGTACTTAGTCCTGTCAAGATAATAGCTGACAGTCCTTTTACTATCCTAGACAAGCAATGGTCTTTCCCAGAAAGAGCCTAGTGTGCTTGGGGAAAACATGTATGGATGAAAATCCAAAAGTGGTTTAAGTTGAATTTTAAACAGGGTCACAGCATTACTTTATTCCTGTAAATAGTAGCATAACGGAGCTCTCCTATTTAAGAGTGCAGGGATTAAATAAAAAGTGCAATAAAGCCTCTCTACATTACCAATGAGAGAGGTGTGGGGACAACTGAGTACTTTAATCATTCAAACTAGGGGAAAGAGAAAAAAAGAAGCAAGTGTTTAGTTCCATAAAGACTAATTCAAGGCATACAGATATGGTTAGCTGCTTTAAAAGGTGTCATGGCTAACCAACTGGGCCCACAAGTCTCACATTACTTACCCTTTTCAATAAAAGTTCTCTCTCAAAATAGGAGGGAGGCAACATTGCTTACCAGACATTAATTTAAGCTGCATTTCTCAGGAGGGATTTGCAATTTCTTCTTGGAAAAAGTACACACCAAGTTTAAGGATTCCCTTTTACCTCCTCTCTCTTTCAGAACCAAGTACAAACTACTCGATGCCATTTGGTTCAATCTAAAGGCAAAACGTTTTAATGATCAAAGTGTTTTTTCAACCTAGGAATAAGTCATTTCTGGTATGGATCACGTAGCATTACCCAGAAAAGCATAACATCTGTCAAAGTCCAGAATACAACCCTAACGCTGAGTTCAATTTACTGGAATAATTTTCATAAGAGGTTGAAGCCCAACAGAGAGCCTTCTCCAGTAATAAACAAAGTATGGTGATTTTCCCTGGCCAACATGAAAGGCATGCAAAAGATGAAATATAAGTAAACTACGGTTCTATGATGTTTTCCCTTCTCATAAAGTGTAATTAATATAGGGGAAAAAATATTCACTTACAGGATATGATTTCAAGTGACACAATTCTCTTAACATGAAACAAGGTATTTTATTAATGAAAAAATAACATTTACTCAATACCAAGTACCCTGGTACAGGAACAGTTATAAACATAAGTATACAAATATCAAATCTGAGGGTAGGCCTAGTCTAATAATTCAATAATAGTGTTAGGCACTGGCAAGAACTTGATGTGGGCTTGATAGTTGACTTAAAGCTCACATCTGTAATTAGCAAAAGTTTAGAAGATAATAACAACATTCAGTTTAATCAAACTGGTGGTAGCAGGCAAAGAAACAGAGAGAGGCTGTGTTAAGGCTCAGTCTCTAGTACACCTTAATGGTTCACTGGAAAGGTCTGCATGCAGGATAAATATTGCATTTTCTCTGATTACATTAACACTAGAAAAATAATCTTTTCAATAAGAATGACTTATTTTGATGCCATACTGCATCACTGAATATAAAAATGGAAGATTAACAAAAATTCTGTATTCCCTTTGGGTTCAAACCTATAAGACTTAAAGTAATTTGGTATTTGGCTTTATACCTAAACTGCCAATTTAGGATGACCAGCAGGCATTTTTTTGTAACCTAGCAAAATGTCATAGTTAATGAAGGTCAGTTGTTTGTGTAATCCTAGTCCCCAAGAGTGACTTCAATTTAAAGGTTCAAGTCAAACAGAAATCAGCTTTATAATTTCAATGACTCAGGCTCTTCAGAATATTCTCTTCTGTGCAGGGAACACAAAATCCTACACCCTCAGCAGGTCTAATTAGAGGCTTTAGAACAAGCATTAATTCAGGGATGGTTAAGTTACTCTTTCATTGGTGCCTGTTGAGGCAAGCACAAGTTAAAGATGCGTACACAAAAAAAAAAATCAAACTAGGAAAGGGGAGGATAAGGCAGGGTTGTGTGAAGAGAAGATAAAAACTACATACAGAAGTTTACAGCTTTGAAAATTCCTTATAGCACTGCTAAGAATGCAGGTTGCATAATGGTAATTTTTAGTGTTGCTTATAATATAGAGCTCTTATGTCAGAGGTAGTATACTTATACCTATGCAACTACACAGAACATACCCTTCCTGAAGGATGTCACAACTGCTTGGCTGACAAATATATATATGAAAGAAAACTAAACATAATGGCACCACAATTAGCTTTTTTAGGATTATTTGTAAATAGTCTTATAGCACTAAATGCTTTAAATCATTTTACTCAGTTTTATTATATCCTGTTTACGTTAGGAGAAACTTAATGACACAACAAAGAACTAATGGAAAAATTAAACGCTTTCTTAGATTTGCATCCTACTCTGTGCTCAACCATCCTTATTTTATTGAAGCTTTATGCCTCTGGCAACAAAATGAGATCCAGAGAGGCTACTTAATATGATACACTACTAAAAATGCCTTGACACACTCACAAAGCCCCAACTACACAAACACTGGAATTAGTAACAAGTGCAAGAACTGAAAGGTACTTGAAGAATCTTAAAACTGGAATGAAGGTTACCTTAAGTAGATACTATACTCAGGGTAAAAGATGCTTTTGTACTGAACCCAAGTCTCGGTCTCCTCTTCTGTAATCCTTTTGCTGTCTCGTCCTCTTGAAAAGAGATTGAATGATGCAAACCTTCTAACAGATACTTGTTGAAGATTTGCATTCTTCAGCTGCTTTTTCTTCAGAACCTTTAACAATAAAAACAAAAAGTATTAAAGATCAAGTATGTGGCTCATAAAAAATGTCCAAATGCAGACTCATTTAACAAAAAGGTAATTCTGGAATCTTTTGCAGTAGTTAGGCTGCAAATAGCACTGGCTCTAGAATGAAAAGAAAGAATGAGTAACATTTTCATCAGGGCCAGCCTGTCCTATACTGCAAAACCTGCGGCTGCAGGGGGCCCTGCAGCTAAGGGCCCTCCTGCACACAGGCAGCAGAAGTGGGGGGCTAATGGGGCTTGGCCCCCCAAACACAGGGCAGCAGCAGGCATTGCTTTAGGGCAGCCTGGCCGTGGGGTCCTACAGCTGGGAGGGAAGGTGCAGGCATGCTGAGCTACCCTGCACACTCGCAGTCACAGGCAGGTAAGTTTCTTTAATCTGGTTTTTTTTTTGTTTATTTCCATGCGCTTGCGGGGAGGGCAGATCGAGACCCCCACAGTGCAGGAGACAGTGGGGTAGGAGAAGGGCGAATCATTCACCCCTGCCCCTGGCCCACTCCCTCCTGCACTGTGGGGACTGTTCCACGACCCGGCCCAGGCCCCACTCACCGTGACTGGGGCCTGGCCCAGCCAGGTCGTGGAACAGTCAGAGCCCAGCGGCTCACCACTGCCACTCTGAAAGAGGTGGGCGCCGCCATGTGCCTCACGTTCTGGCCTGCCCAGCAGTGGGACGCACATGGCAGTACCCGCCGCTTTCGAAGCAGCGGTGGTAAGGTGCGGAGACACAGAGCAGAGGCTGAGCCCAGCTCACAGCTGTGGCCCACCCCTGCCCGTGCAAAGATCAGGGGGCCAACTGCCCTCCCCACCTTTGGCTGCCTGGCACCATGCCTCTGGAGGAGCTGCCAGGCTATTCCTGGGGATGTCATGGGGCAGGGTGGGCACAAGGATCCCAGAGGCTCCATCCCCTCCAGCCCAGCTGTGCAGCCAAGGCTGGCCCTGCTCCAGGCCCTGGCTCTGGCCAGTGCATGGCCAGGGCTGGGGTGGAGAGGCAGCCAGGGCCAGTGCAGTTTTTACTACACAAACACTGGCAGGTGCCAGAGCTGCAAAACGGCCAAGGCTGGCATCGCCAGCACTGGTGCAGCCAGGAGGCAGCCAGGGCTGGTGGTGTGGCAGGGAGGCTGCTGGGGCCGGGAGGCAACCAGGACTGGGGCCAATGCGACCGGAACCACCACTGGCTTCTTTGGGGCAGGGGGCCCCAAAACTATTTCTTGCAGGGGGCCCCAAAAAATGGCGGGCTGGCCCCGATTTAAAAAAAAAGCCCCACACTCACCAGCTATAGCAGTGATCAGGGCCTCTGAGGGCTCATGGCAGAGTCCCCCTGCACAGCATGAGGCACTGGTGGGCAGCAGATTGCCCCCCCTCCACCTGGGACCCATACGGCAGCTTCCCCATGGCGTGGGTGCAGCACGGCTGAGCAGCACGCTGTGCACTGTCTGGGACCTGGAGCCACTGGGACTGAGTGGTACCAGGCTCCAGCTGACAGGTGGAGCCACCCCAGCTTCCAAACAGCACATGGTACCATGCTGAGCCACACTGTACCCATTTGATGTGAGAGCTGCCACGTGGGTGCCAAGCGGGGGGGGTGATCCCTGCTGCCCCCCACTGCATGGGGGGGCTCTGCCATGAGCTTCCAGAGGTCCTGATCACCACTGCTACAACTGGTGAGTGCAGGGCTTTTTTTGTGTGTTTTGTTTTGGGGGGGGGGGTTGTTTTTGAAGTGCTGGGAGGCTGGGGCCGGGCAAGGCACCCGGGGAGAGGCAGACACAGCTAAAGGAGCTGCGGGAGAAACCCCCATGGCTGCCCTGCCCTGCCCCATCCCCCGCCCAGGCCCAGCCTCCTGCCACTTTAAAAGGAGGGCTGAGGGGCTGTGTCAGACTATTCCCAGGGGGCGTCTCCAAAACATCCAAAATATTTCTGAAAACATTTCAGATGGTTCCATTTCATTTTGGAGATGTTTCGGAGCCTTCTGTTTCATTTCAGATTCAGTGTTTTGGGTGCCAAAACACCTGGTGGCAAGGATCACAGCCAGTCCGGTCAACCTCTACCTCAACCTGTTTTCTTACAGGCTAGTTGACCTCCTCCGGCGGGCTTCAAACTAAGTTTGTCAGGGGATGGGGATCCACAGGAGCAAGAGATAACTCAACCAGGTGTAGGACCTGCCCAGGTAAGAGCTCAGGTATATACCAAGGGACCAGCTGTCTCTCAGGAAGTGGGGGGTGCCCAGGGCTCCCACAGGGGGATTAAGGTGTCTCTTCACTAATGTAAGAAGCATGGGGAACAAGCAGGAGGAGCTTGCTCTCCTGCTTGCAAGTAGTAAAATCGACCTGGTTGGCCTAGTGGAGACATGGTGGGATGAAACTTTTGACTGGGTAGTAGACATAGAGGGCTATAGGTTGTTTAGAAGAGATAGGAAGGGGAAAAAAGGTGGGGGGCTTGCGCTTTATGTTAGGGAACAGTATACCAGTTCTACCTTCCAAATGGGACCAGAGGAAGGCTTAACTGAGACCCTGTGGGTCAAACTTCAAGGAGGGCAGGGGGAGAGGGATCTGGTGGTAGGGGTTTACTACAGGCCACCACATCAGGAGGAAGAGCTGGATCTGGAATTCTCCAGGCAGCTTGGGGAGGCCGTGCGTGCAAAGGATGTTGTGGTCATAGGGGATATGAATTACCCTGACATCAACTGGGAGGAGCAGTCGGCCAGGTCTAGCCACTCACGAAGGTTCCTGATGTGCGTACAGGACCTACACCT